GTCAGCATCCTTAATCTTCAGTTCTTGCCTGTTCTTCCACACATGCTTTTGCGTTATGTGAAAGAAGGTTTTGGTTGGTGAAAAGCAAAAGACGATGAGAGCCTTTGTTTATCTCGTGCGCCAAGCTTTGGTTTCTTTTTATATATATATATAGAGAGAGAGAGAGAGTTTTAAATTTGAATTTTAAATTTATGATCGAGATTTTATTGAAATATTTTAATGGACATTAAATCAAGGGTTAACAATTTTCAAAATAGGAAATTAATTTAACTTCCTTTTAAGGAATGATATTTTTGAGACAAAAAAAAATGGACTTAAGTCATTATATATAATTTTAAACATGGATTTAACCCTTTAGAAGTTTCCTTGTAGTGCTTATTTTCAAACAAGTACATTTAGGAGGACTCACTTTCAATTTTCACTTTTTTTAATTGGACTTGTGTAGGGCTTAAAGTATTTATGAATTTAATTTTTTTTGTATTTTGTACTTTGAAAGATTTTAAGATTTTTACTTTATATCCTCAAAAATTAAATGTTTTACATTGCACTCTCAATGTATTTAAAGTGTTATAATGTGACCTTTCAGTTAACTTTTCGTCAAAAGTCAATTCATTGACACTAACAAAAAAATTAGCAGGCCACGTTATAAACACTTTTAATACATTAAGGATATAATGTGAAAAATTTAATCCGTAAAAATCTTAAAAAATATTTCAGGGTATAAAGTGTAATTCACCAAAAAATAAAAGATATTATATGAGTCTCTATAGATATTAACTCAAAATGATATTAGCAATCGTGTCGAGTGGAACGTGTTTATGTGAAAAACTCTCCATCCATACCATATTCGTTTATATAAACGAGTATAACTATTACACTCATACACGAATTATTTATTAAACGAGTTACCTGATATTACCCGTGTGTTACCTGCTAACTAAGAGAATTTGTTAGATAATTTCAAGTCTATATGAAAAATCATTAATTCGTCACACATTACACATGTTTGACATATTTACTATAACAATAAAAATCATGACTGAGCAAAAACATAAAAACAAAAAATAAATATTAAATGACTACTAAATTTAAACAATTACGAGAGATGGGAGGTGTGAGATAAGACACAGGCTGAGAGACCTAACTTGATTTTTAAAAATTTATTATACCACTTTTAACGGGTTAAATGGATTGAAACGAATTTATGGGTTAAACATGAAATCGGTTCGTTTTTTTCATGAGTTTGTCGAGTTAACCCGTTAATCACAAAAATTCATTAAGACTATACCCAAATCCGCTAAATTCGTGTCAAATTTGTGTTGATTTCACGAGTCGTGTCTAGAATTATCAGCCGTACGTACGAGGAGATGGCATCATCGTGGCAATTCTTCTATTTAATAGAATTTGTATCGTTTTATTATTATTGAAAATTTAATTATTTTTTATTTTATATTCAATGGACGGTCCAGATTCATTATACAAATTCACAGGCTCATTGGCGGTATTCACATGATGAAAGGAAAGCCCATAAAGCTGCGAGTGTGTAACGGTCGGCAATTGTTCTCTCTCTCTCTCGCGAATTTTCTGAATCCCAGTTGCCTTTAACGGTCATTGAGGAGATTGTATCAATCTAATCCCGCATCTATTCACTTTGCGAAAGTGTTTGTTGGATCTTTCTCTATGATTCGTAACCGCTGGTGGGTTTAGGGTTTTGATTGCAATCTCTCTCTCTAGATGTTGCGTTTGCAATTTCATGGGTCCATTAATGAAAGCAAAGGAGTGGAACGTTATCAAACTGAGAAGAAAAAAGCAGCAAAGGTATTCAATGAGATACTTCCAAGTTCGAATTTAATTAATGTAATCCCATACTTGATTACATTACTGTGATTCCAAGTCAGTTTGTAATCTCACATCCTGACTAATATTTTGTTTTTGTTCCTTCTGTTATACAAAGATAATAATAATTATTCTTTCATTTATTGTACCAACAAGCTTAATTTGGCTGTAATACCGTATTTAATTACATACTCTATTTGCTTATATTGACATTGAATGTTTCAAAATTTACTTATATTGTTGAGATCCTGATTTTCCTTGTGCTGATTGGAAATTGTCGCAATTTACATTGTGAAATACTGAACAAGTAGTAATTTTTAGCTCCTTACTGTTTATCCTACATCTCCAGGACTCTTCTTTAACTTGTTGAGTATTTATTGATCAATCAATAAACCAAGAGTATACCTAGGCTTCTAATCTATAACTAGTAGTACTAGGCAATAATCCAAGATTTTGTGGAACAAAACAGAATAGTGAGATGTTAATTTTTTTATCGTTTGTGACAACCCAACCTTTTCATGCGGAGCCCATTTGTACTTTTTTCCATGACCTGTCAATTCTTGCTTCATGGCATTGTCATGGCCATCATGCTTGCATATCAACCATTAGCCAATCTTATTTGTAATGTATAAAGAATTAGGTTAGCCTATTGTATCAGAAAACAACTTTTTAGCATAGTTATCAGAACTGGATCGGATATTGACCCGACAGAGGGATCGGGTCAATGGATCACTGGTTCAACCGTTTCCGTTTGGTGAACTGGTCGAACCGATTGTATAATAAAAAAATTGCAAAATATAATAATTTAACTAAAAATATATAAAAAATGTCTCCAATGCATTCAATTATAAATACAAACCCCCTAAAAAGATAAGCAATATTAACACTAGCATGATTATAAATACAAAATCCCAACAAGAGCACCTAGAATTGTAAATACAACCCACTAAAAGGATATGCATTATGTAAAATATTAAATTAATGGTAGTCTACATGCTATTTCCACATTCACTACCCAGAATTCTCTATTAGTAGTGCTACACTAATTGGATACTTTTGAAAAATAAAGAATCTAACAGAAGGTAGTGAGTGTGTTATGTGTGACGCGTGAGAGAGAGAGAGAGAGAGAAGACTTAGACTAGCAGAAGGAAGAAGATAGATCTAAGTGACTGAAGTGCTACCTGAGTTGAACTTTAAGCGCCTGAACTAGCCGAAGGAAGGAGAAGGGAGAACCGAAGCTGGCTGGACTCTGGAAGAGTAACAGATCGAGTTGAGAAGAAGGAGAGTGAGTCTCCTATGCGTTTGTCACTTCTACCGGAGAAAAACCAAGTGAGATATGATTGTTTTAGGGCAAAATTGTCCCAAAAAAAAGAAATTTTTATTTTTATACAAATCAATAGTCGAACCATCCGATTCACTGGTTTTATTAATAAGCGGTCGGTTTAGTGGTTTGATTGTCTATGCGGTCTAACTTGAAAATTGGACTGGTCTAAGGTCCAGTTCATAGTTGAATCGGTCAAAATGGTCAGTCGGTCCAACTCTGATAACACTGTTTTTTAGTGTCACTCTTTCTTTATTTGTCCAATCACAAAGTAACAGATACAAAGTTTAATTATTTTATGATTTCCCTTTTTTTATTATTATTTTCACAATTAATGGCTTCAATTAATTCTAATCAAGATCTACGGCTCAAAACTATTTTCCGGTCTATCGGGGATATGGGAACCTTGTGATTGGTATGACCTACAAAATATTTTTGTTACCAATAGAAGTTATATATGTGAGTCTATATATATACTGGCACGGCAACGGTATTTTGGAACCTAATTTGGCGACTTAATTTTGACCATTGGAGTAATGGTGGACTTCAGTATCACGNAAAGAATTAGGTTAGCCTATTGTATCAGAAAACAACTTTTTAGCATAGTTATCAGAACTGGATCGGATATTGACCCGACAGAGGGATCGGGTCAATGGNCAACGGTATTTTGGAACCTAATTTGGCGACTTAATTTTGACCATTGGAGTAATGGTGGACTTCAGTATCACGGTGAATTAGGTCGTCATTTTAGGTCCGCTAATAGGTCCCAAAACCTTTGCTCATATTGACATTCACGTATGATTTTTGTTTTTGCAGGTGCACATTGTTTTGTTCTCAGATGATATTTATAATGTTTGGTTGGACAAAGCAAAGGAATTGCTACAAAATTAACCAGTACGATGGCTCATCAGTTCGCAGAAGTGTTTCTACCTGTCGACTACTACATACCAAGCAACATAATGTGCTTTTTTTTATGGAAATTTCCAATTGGCATGTTGATATCTTGCGGAGCTATTGGGGGCAAGATCGAATCACAATGATCGAAAAATTTACCGGCATACATTAGAGTGTGACCATATCCTCTGTTCCCTGCACTGTAAATAAGGTAACTCATCATTTAGCCATGCAACAGTGATGTATGGAAGGGACAGGCACCCGGTTTTGTCATGCCCCTACCAATGTCGGAGATTGGTTGGTGCTGTTTTTAGCTGTCTATTTGTCCAATGTGAACTATCTTTTTATATGTGAAATGAAACCATCTTGAAAAGGTTGCTCTTTCCCTGCTCCCTAAGACACAGGGAGATGCATCTCATCTGTGAACAGAAACAATGCATTCGTCATTACCTCCCTTCAAATTCGAGAGGATGAAGTTGTCTCGACACGATTTGGGGGTATGGCTTTGTTCTTCAAAATGATGTCGTTTTGAAGAATAACACAAGTGTTGTATAACTGGGGATACCCCTCACAATTAGATATAGGAGTCTAGGATTGAGTTGTGCTAAGATATTGGGAGATTCGATCCACATCAAAAGGTTTAGACCACCTGAAGGCACCCAATTGTGAAGGTGGTATTATTGGGGTAATTAAGATCAACAAAACGTTCTTTTCTATTTTTAATTACTTAAAATTAATTTTTGGTACACCATTGTATAGTATATGAATAATGTGTAAAATAAAAATTACATTGAGTCATAAATTAATAAAAAATTAAATAATTCAACTGGTGTTAAAAACACGTAATGTTATGCGACAAAAATTGACAAGAAAACTGTACGGTGAAAAACGAGGTTTTGAGTCCATTTCCGGCTGTTCAACACAGACTAACAAAATTAAATGGGCTTAGAGCCCATTTTCAGGTTGTCCAATGAACTCAAAAAAATGGGCCTCGAAGCCCATTTCACTTAGAGTCACGCCACGCTACCTGGAAGCTCTATGGTCGCATATTCGCATTTGGCTATCTCTGTCCCTCTCTCACTCCCTCACTGTCACTGATCTCCATAGCAAGACTGTAACCGCTCCAAATGGCGCTTCGAACCCTCGCGACCAGGAAAACCCTAGGCGGACTAGGGCTAGGGTTTCAGCAACAGCTCCGGGGCTTGCAGACCTTCTCGCTGCCCGATTTGCCGTACGATTATGGCGCTCTTGAGCCTGCCATTAGCGGAGAAATCATGCAGCTCCACCACCAGAAGCACCACCAGACTTACATAACAAACTACAACAAGGCTCTTGAGCAGCTCCATGATGCCATGGCCAAGGGCGATTCTCCCACTGTCGTCAAATTGCAGAGCGCCATCAAATTTAATGGCGGAGGTTCAGTTTTCTCACTCTTTGTTTCTGTTAGTTCAGTTTTTCTGTGGCATATGGTGTCTATACAACTCCTGTATTGACTGTGTATATGAATCTGTTGATTGCAATTGAGTGAATGAAATGTTTCGTTACCTCTGTTCTGGTTGTAGATCTCCAAATTTATGATTAAATTGCAGAATCTAACTATAAAATGGACGTGAGACAACTGGTCTAATTTAAAACAATTAAATGCGTATCTCCTGAATGGTTGGTCATATAATATGGTTGATGTACAAAAACTTTAAGAACAGTGGTTATTTACGAATAATATCGGGAATTTGAGTTAACCATGACATGATCATGGAATTCTAGTGATTGATGACCAATTGGGAAAAAAGGAATTTGTTAGATCAGCGTAGGATTATTTGTTGGAACACTTGGTTATACAAGCGGAAGAGGTAAAGAAATGCTTGATTTTGGCTTAAGCCAATTGATGAATGCTACAAGTATATAAGCTGATTAGTATGGTATGCCATGCACCGGAGACAAGATCCAAGTATTTTTTTTATCTCATCAGAAAAGGGCAGGGGGATGTGTACGCGTAATTGGTTTTTATGGATCGCAAGAAGAGAACTGCAGGAAAAAATTAATTGTAGTAGAGAGTGGTTGTATTGTAACCCTCAGACCGATTCTATAATTCTGTGTGGAACTAAATTTGGATTGCAATCAACATTTTTTGTTACCCCGCCTAGAAATGTTTGCATTGGTGTGTTTAACTTGGTGAAATCGAGGTTGATTTATCTTTATGTGAAAGGTCTCCCTGGTGCCCACTTTCTGATCAAGTTAACAGATCAATATAATTCTTTGTGGTGTTTTGATGTTAGCTTTACGGTATATGATGTCTTATTCTTACACTAGGGTATGTTTGATTCAATATAATTTATGTTTTCAAGCAGGGCATATCAATCACTCAATTTTCTGGAAGAATCTTGCTCCTGTTCGTGTAAGTTTTATTCTCTGGCCCTTTGCCAGTGTTTTTATTATCCTATTTCATTTAAGTTCTGACCTTGACACACTTCTTTTCTGAATGCTTCCAGGAAGGAGGTGGTGAACCACCAAAGGGTTCGTTGGGTTCAGCTATTGACACACACTATGGTTCTTTGGAATCACTGATACAAAAGATCAATGCCGAAGGTGCTGCTTTACAGGGCTCCGGATGGGTGGTAAGTTCTGCATCCTCTTAATTATATAATCTGTTTTCATGTACTCCACTTATTAACATTGGCTGGATGTCTAACTTGGCAGTGGCTTGCTGTGGACAAAGAGTTGAAAAGGCTAGTGATTGAAACCACTGCAAATCAGGTGACCTAAGCAAGATTAATCATTAAATTTCTAAATAATGGTCATTTTCCAATCAAGGTTAGGTACTTACCATTTATTCTGTCCACTCCAACTAAAATTGCTCAGCTTACGCTGCCTTAGAATTTGTTGATTATCTGACAAGTCCAAGACCATGTATATTAGCATGATAGCTATTATCTTAATGATCTCTGCTGTAATACACCTTATACCAACCAACTAACCAAACCAAACCTTATGTCCCAATCATATGAGTCCGTATTCGTGTAATACAACTTCATATGTTGTAGAAAAATCATCATTAAGCACTTCAAAAATATATTTGAGCTTGGGAATGGGTGCTTTACCTGTATTTCCGTCGATAAGATTATCACTATATGAGGGGGATTGTGGTGCATACTACATGCTTTCTAATTGTTTTCACTTTCTCTATTTCTTTTTGTAGGACTGGATAACTTCATACAGTATATCTGTTGTTGCTTGAGTTCCCAATAATTGTAGTCATGTGTTATAACTAGTTCTCATTTATTTTCTTGTAGGCATTATGTTTCCCTTTAAACCATTCCACTTTCATATCTCATATTTGTATTATCATGGACTCTGCTGCAGGACCCACTAGTTACCAAAGGACCAAGTCTGGCTCCTCTTCTTGGTATCGATGTTTGGGAACATGCATACTACTTACAGGTATTTATTTTTGTCAGATTTTACTGCTTATATTGCCCATATTTGGTTGTTTTGTTATATCAAGACTCGCAATATTTTGAAAATGCAGAATTAGGTAAATCTGTTGCAATCCCTCTCTTTTCCCATATGTTATTTCTACCCATTTTAAAAGTATTTTTAATGATGACATAAGTGGATGGGTTAATGAAACATTTATGATATGTAATTCATTTGAAATATTTTGTGTAGGGGTTCAACTAGGGTGGGTTGGACAGTCAACCCTAGCCTAACCCTAGGTATATAATCTTCAACCATAACCCTAACCCTACATTGGGTTGATAAACTCAACCCAAGTACTGCCCGACTTTAAATCGGGCGGGCTCGGGTTGAATTCGGGTTAATAATTTTGGGCTACTTTACAGGCTGATTTCAGGTTAATGTTCTAAACATAATACATATATTACATAATATTCAAATAATTTAACAACCAATAACTTCAATCAAGTTTTTAACATAAAAATCATAATATTAAGAACTCAATGCAACCACAATCATATAGAACACAAAGTCACAAACACTTTTGTTAGTGCAAAATATAACACTGCTACCAGTTTAACAGAAATAACAATGTTGTCAGTTTAACAGAAATAACAATATTACTGTTATTGCAAAACATAACACTGCTACCTTGTACAGAACCAATTTAACAGAACCCAGACAAAAGTAAAACATAGTCCATAAGGGTAAGAAAATCATATTAACCCTAGTATAAATTATAAAATTGTATTTATATAATAGTAATTCCGGTTGAACCCGAGGGATCAATCTGAGACCCGCTCAAATTGAATTCGGGTTGAGATTTTTTGACCCAAGCTCAACCCAAGTATTAAAAACCCTTGCCCAAATTCTAATTTTTTCGGATTGGACTCAGGTTTTCCAACCCATGTTGCACCCCTAATTTTATGGCAATTGAGCATTAATGAGCTATTCAATTGGTTACTGTAGATTTAGGGTTTGAAGAAACCAACTAAGGAGTATGACTTCAATGATTGTTTATGGTCTATGCTTGCTTTTAAAAAGTTATTTCCAAAAATCTGTCATTATTTTCTTCTTCATTTGCCTATTTATCGCGTAGTTATTTTTGCAATCCTCTCTTTTCTCTCATGCGAATTGATACATATGATGGTTTTTCACAATCCAGTACAAAAATGTTAGACCAGATTACCTCAAGAACGTATGGAAAGTCATGAACTGGAAATATGCCAGTGAAGTTTTTGAGAAAGAGTGCCCTTAATGAAGAAACTCACCATCCTCAAGGGTTGGCTTGACAGGTACTGTCAAGTTTTTTTAGAGAAAAACAAAGTACGACATTACGTATCACCGATGAAGAGCTCCTTGTTCTATTAGGTATTTGCTTCCATATTGCACGGATCTTGAATAAAACATGTTACTTGTACTCTGCTCCTCTACAAGTCTTTGGTTATCATACCATGTATGAATTTTTCCTTTTGTGCTTGTGCATTTGTATTGTTAGAGATTATGGGGGTTTTGATGTGCATGGTTTATAACTTTTTTTTTTTTTTTGATAATGATAATAAGATTTAAGAGTAGGTACAATAACAAAAGACAGTACTTAAAAACATCCTAATGTAGCATGGAGGGGATGTGCATCCAAATCCACTTGAGCCTTTGTTGAATTTGGCAGTTGGTCTGGCTGGAGTGGACCTGTATAACCCATAGCGAGCCCCCATCTTGCTAATTCATGAGCAGCACCATTTGCATCCCTACATGTGTGTACAAATTCCCATTCTGAATGATGCTGAAGAATGACTTTTATGTCTTGTACAATTGAGAGCACAGTCCAATGAGGTTTGACATGAGGGAGCATGATGGAATGAACTACAATTTGTGAGTCTCCTTCTATGAGCACATAAGACCATCGCTTGGCATGTGCCCATTCCACAACTTGCCTTGCAGCTAGAGCTTCAGCTATGAGTGGGTCTGTTTCTGTTACGATCTGGAGATTTCTTCCTATAACTGATCTATCATGAAGTCTGGCAATTGCTGCAATAGATGAATTCTTATTCCCCACTGCTGCATCAAAGTTAACTTTTGTAATTCCTTCATGAGGGGATCTCCAAAATTCTGGTGATTTTTGGATTGGTGGGGCCTTTGGATGGATTTTAACTTCTCTAAACTCATCAAAGGTCTTCATAATTTGCTGGAGGAATTGATGTGGAATGACTAGTTGACTATTGTGAGGAGTCTTATTCCTCCAAGTCCAGGTACTACAAATCAAGATAGTTGTGAATAGCAACAGTTCAGAGTAAGGAGGGCTATTGGATCCAAAAATGATGGTGGGATGGAGGATGTTCTGAATCCATTCCTGTAGACTGAGGTGAGAAAAGGAATCTGTGCGAAGCCCCCATCTTGTGAACCAAACCATCCTAGGCAAATGGCAAAGGAAGAATAGATGCGTGGTTGTTTCTGGATATTGGTGGCATATGGGGCAAAGGATGTCTGGTATAGAAAATCTGTTTGCTAGTAAAGTTCTAGTTGGGAGACACTTTGTAGTTAATCTGCAAATGAACATTTTGTGTCTTTCATGAATAGAAGTCTGTCATAATCTCTTCCAGTCGCTTTTTGCTAGGTAGTGAGTTTGTGAATCTTGCACAGCTTTATAAGATTTGTAGGCAGACTTGCAATCAAAATTCCCATTCGTGTTCGGTATCCACAATAGCTTGTCTTCCCTTTGAAAGGTTGGGATATGAATTCTTAGTATAGCATGAATGGTTTCTTGATTGAACAATGAGGATAAGAGAGTTATGTTCCAGCTATTGGTGTCCTGGTCAATTAGTTCAGATACAAGGCTGGGAAGAATCTCTGATTCCTGCTGAAGATGGACTTTGAATGTTGGCAAATTAGGAACCCAAGGTTCTGTCCAAATATTTATTGATTGACCATTCCCCACCATATAGCAGGCACTTTGCTCGATGATTGGTCTACACTCCAAAATTTATTTTCAGATTTGAGAATCATGTGGTTGTTTACCGGTGTAAAAGAAAGAGCTTCTAGAGCAGTATTTCCTGCTCAACTGACTGGTCCATAGCTTGTTTGGGTTGGAAATCAATTGTCATCCTAGCTTGGACATTAAAGCTTTATTCATATCAGAAGTTCTTCTGAAACCTAAGCCTCCAAATTCCTTAGGTGTGCATAATGAGTTCCAAGATTTTAATGTCAGTGTATGTTTGTCCTCAATATGACCCCACCAAAAGTTCTTGATTGTTCTATCCATCTTGCTGCAGAGGTGTTGTGGCAATAGGAAGGATTGCATGGCATAAATTGGCATTGCCAAAGCTGTTGACTTTATTAAAGTTGCTCTCCCTGCATAGGAGAGTAATTTGGTTTTCCAACCCTGCAGCTTCAGCTCAAGCTTCTGTAAGATTGGTTGGAATGATCTTGTTCTGGACCTCTTTATGAAAAGAGGCAGTCCTAGGTAAGTAGCTTCCAAAGGTCCTTTTTTGATCCTTAAAATCTATTTGATGGGCCTGATCAGGGAGTGCTGGGCATTTGGGCTGTAGTGCACTCTGGATTTCTCATAGTTTTTTTTGCTGCCCAGACCATTGAGCATATGTAGAGAGACAATTTTTGATAGCTGCAACATCTTTTTTGGTGGCTCTTGCAAAAATGCGGAGGTCATCTGCAAACATTAGATGACTAATAGGTTCGCAGTTTCTTGAGATTTTGATGCCTTTGAGATTTCCCAGTAATGCTTCCCAGTGAATTAATCTAGAAAGAATTTCAGTGCAAATGACAAACAGTGAGGGTGAAAGACGATCTCCCAGTCTAAGACCTCTTTGGGCATGGAAGTTTCGAAGGGGTCCCCATTGATTAGGACTGAGAATGAAGCTGTGGAGATACATTGTTTAATCATATTGATAAATTGGTCAGGAAAACTAAGAAGCTTAAGAACTTGCAGAATGAAGACCATTCAACTTTATCAAAGGCTTTGGCAATATCAATCCTTAACATTATTATAGCACCTTTCCCTTTTTTCTTTTTGAATTGATGAACTATTTCTTGAGCCAAAAATGGCGTTCTCTGCAATACCTCTACCTTGGATAAATGCAGTTTGGTTTGGTGAGAGGATTTGGTCTAACAGAGGTCTGATCCTATTGGCAAGGATTTTGGAAATGATCTTATAAGCAACATTACACAGACTAGTTGGCATATACTGATTAACTGTGTTGACCTTTGTGGATTTGGGAATGAGACAAATATTAATTTCAGACAATTTTAGACAGCATGTGTCCTCCAGCAAAGAAGGACCTGACCATATCAAATAAATCCCCTTCTATGGTATACCAATATGTCTGGTAAAATATGGCAGACATACCATCAGGACCAGGGGCTTTGGTTGGAGGTATTGCAAAGAGAGTTGCTTTAATTTCTTCTGGTGAGGGTATGACACAAAGATTCGGATGTTGTTCAGGAGTGATTATGGGTGCTATGAGGTCATCTAAGTGCTGGGGAAAGTGAGGATTAAATGTTGTGAAAAGTGTTTGAAAGTACTGCAGGAATTGGTTACCAATAGACTCCCTCTCTGTGATCTATGTTCCATCTGGAAGCTTCAAGCAATCGATTGAGTTCCATCTGCCTCTGATGAAGTGTGGGTGATACTCCCTTATTTGAGCCTTCAAATGGCGAATTGTCGAGGCATGGCCCAGCCCTCGGCAATTCCATATGTATCCTATCATGGTGAGGGTGGGGGCATGGCCAGGCCCGCCTCCTGAGCCATTGAAATGGTTTCCTCTGTAACAAGAACTTAGGTCTCTCCATGGATAGTTGTGCTGAAATGCGTTGTTTCCTTGATGGTTCTCTGGCATTTGAACTTCCTGTAAGGTTTCCTTTGAAGTTGGTGGGTGGGGTGAGTGGGTGAGTTTTGATGTTTATCAATTCTGACTTGGTCATTGGGTTTATTTGTTTCAGAGAGCTGGTGAATATCTGTGGGTAGAGTTATCCCAGCATCAATGGAATGAGGTTTAACTTCAACTGGATTTGGACCCTTTGCTGGTATAGGTAATCTAGCAATTATACCATCATCTCTCCTATAGAATTTTGGTGGTCGGATATGGATTCCATCTTCGAGAGCATTCCATTTAAGTGAGAGGCGTGTGAAGATTATGGCCATGCATTCATCAAAAAAGGTACCTAGGTGAGGTTGTAGTGGTGTTTCTTGGCTTATGGTAAGGGATGAACTTGATTTTTCCTCAATTGGACTGTGTGGAGAAATGAGAGCTGGGTATTGAGAGTTATTGTTTAAAGCAAGTGGTGAGGTGCTGCTTCCTTGCGTTGTTTTGTGCAGAGGGACAAGTCCCAGGCAAGGAGAGGTTTTGGAGAGATCAACTGAGCTTTGGTTTTTATTTTTGGGTATGAGTGTTATGGTCATTGGGTTATTGGGCATTGTTTGGGTTTTGGTGTCATTGGGCTTGACTGGTTCTGCGTTTTGGGATGGGCTGTCTTTGGGGTATGGTCATTATTAATTGGTGTGGTGGATGGGTTGATTCTGTCTTGTATGTAATGTGGGCCAGTTTTGGATAGGTTAGGGTTGGTTAGTTGTGTGATATAAACGGACTGTGGTGAGGGGGTTAGGGTTTGGGAAGGCATTGTGTCTCCTGAGGCGGTGTGGTCTTCAATCAATGTGTTTAAGCTCGTTGCATTATGAATTATTTGCAGCCAGCTTCTGGCAATCACAAAAAACCAATGGTCAGTGTGCTTTGCAGCACGGATTTTTGAGTTTTGTCAATATAGTTCCAAGGTATGCAAAGGCCATAGCTTGGCTCTGACATTCAAACTTTTGGTTGGGGTGTCAATTCGTGTTGCGTGTTGCAATTTTTGTGTCATGTTGTGTTATTGTAACATTGTAATTTGTGCCGTGTTGTGACCCATGGGAAAAAAATGTATTTTATGTATTATAAGTGTCAAACATTAATCTAATCCACTTATTATACCTATTTAATAATCATGTCAGTTTTGGAATCGTGCTGAGTTCGTTCGAGTTGATGGGTCGGACTGGGACAAAATTTTGAAAGGCCATGGCCATCTGACCAGTCTCTTGAGGATGTGAAAGAGTGGGTTCCTTGATATCAAATGGGCGATCCGTTTTAGATCGGCAGATAGGGTTGGGGATTAATAGAGATGACAATCGTAGCCCATATGCTGCCAATCAATCTGTAAATTAACGGGTTGGGTAATATCTTTATTCATACGGACTATAAAGTTGTTGAATAATATTTTCTTTTTCTTTTTTTTTTTGGGTAAATAAACTCGATTTTATTGATGATAAATTAAGCTAAAGGGAAAATAAAATGAAAACTGATTTGCTAAATATAAGCAAGAGTGCATCTATCCACGCTACAGGCAATGGAATGTTCACTAATTCACAATTCACTATTTCATAATTCTTGGATAGATCACGAGAAATTTATTTTTTGTGAATATTTTAAATTTGACATAGATAGCTTATTTTTGATCGGACAGAAAAAGGGACGCGCGTAAGTTGACTCAAACGCTCTTAACCATTGAAAAAAAAAATCACGTCTTTTTTGGCATCTCATGATCACTACAATTCAAGGACTTCTATGAAAAAAGTTTCTCAAACTTTCTATTTCTCAAACTCATTCAAATTTAATAGTCATTTAATGTTTATTTTTTGTCTTTATTTTTTTGCTCAGTTATGATTTATTGTTATAATAAACAAGTCAAACATGTGTAATATTTGGTGAGTTGATGATTTTTTGTATAGACTAGAAATATTCTAACTTATTTCCTTATTTAGCGAATAACACACGGGTTATATCGGGTAACCCGTCTAATAAATAATTTGTGCATGAGTGTGATAGTTGAACTCGTTTATATAAACGAATGGGGTATGGATGGAGGATTTTTTGACATAAATCTGTTTTATTCGACACGATTGACACGCCTAATTCCATGAGCAGGTCTGCAGAACTATTTGCAAGGATGCAAGACCAGTACATTGTGGTGGCTTGTAAGGCCCATTACCATGAACACCTATTTTCCTGATCACAACATGTTCTCATTCCCGTGATGGTTGAAATTTGGTTGAAAATTTTGTGAGTTACGGAGATATGGCAGGCAACGTTTCAACCTGGCTTCTTCGCTTCATAAATTGATTGATTGATGTTTACTTTTTTTCCTTTTGGATTCTGAATACATGCTCGAAGGGCCAATTATAGCGGTTGTTTTGATTGTATAACATGCCCTCTTTCTGAGCCAAGAAGGCATGTTTGCACGCTTTCATATAGAGAGGAACCTTTGACAATATACTTTATTTCACGCGATGATGATTTGAATGGGGATTCCAAGGATAGCCGAGACCATCCTCAGCATAGCTTGGCTCAAATCATAGCTTGTAGATCATCATTATTTGAAACTCCATCAGCTGCATTTCAACATGGACAATGGAAGAAAAGTCTGATTTTTTTCTCGAAACTCTATCGATTTTTACACTTAATTCCAATTCCATGATTTCTAACTTATTTTTCAAGTTACAATTGTTTTATGAAAATATAATTGACACCTTGCTTTTTAGTATTTATGTGCAAAACACGCTTTTACACTGAAAATTATTCATCAAGTAACACTTAAATGACACCATGGATAATTTGTAAAATTAAGTCCAAAAATACGGTATTTCAAAAAATTGTCATAGCATAGAAATTGTTTCAAAAAAACTCTTGAGATCGACTGCAGAGAGAGAGAGAGAGAGAGAGAGAGAGAGAGAGTAGCAGTAGTAGTAGATGTGCCCCAGTCATTTGACAAAAAGGCCCAAATCACTTGAGCACCTTTGATTATTCCATTCATTGTCACAGAAAGTACTAGAAAACATTACAATCTGTCCTTACACATTTAAAACCCAGCAATCCCAAAGTGTCAACCCAAACTAACTCCCTCCCCTCTCCACTGCATAGTTTCTCATTTGTCTAGATACTATTTTACAAACTCTCTCTGAAGCACCTATGAAAACTTCTACTATAACAACCACTTAATTAGACAATTCCAATACATTCAGAATGCAAACCGTATTCTTTTTTCTCTATATCTAAGTAGAGCTTGAACAGGCAGCCTAAAACTTCGACCAAGCCATGAAATGAGCCCTCACAATAGTGCTATATTTCTGAGCGGGTCATTGTCTGAGGAGTGAAAATGTACATTTCACAAGCATGAGCATCAACTAGAGCACTGTATGAGGCCATCGTAGTTGATGAAACAAGTTTGTGCTGCAACCATTAGAACAAAAAAATTTGTAAGGTCCAAACTCAGAAACATTAAAGTGAAGTGAATTTCCTTTTTTTCTGTTCTGGATTTGGGAGGTGGGCATATTCAAAATGATAAAGAATTATCCTTAAGCATCTAGCCAAGACTCAAATCTGATGCAGCCACCAAAAAAAAAAAAAAAATTCAAGGCAACTCCTAGGATGTGGTGGGGACCTGACACTGAGGTAAGAGATAGTCCAGAAATTAAAATTGTAAGATTGATGCCTCGAGGAATTAGTAGAGCCTGCTCTAAGGTTAACAACCAAGTTTCACACACCCATTTAATGCTTTATCTGAGTGTCCATGCAGACCAATATTCTCACCTTCCACAAGTCTCTTATAGAGACGTTGGTAGAGGATTCAAGTCCAAGTGCATCCCATCCTGCTGTAATAGTTGCAGATTTTGAACATCGATTCCACAGAACAACAACCAAACGGTGTCCAGACAGAGGACCAGCCCAAATCTGAAAATGAAATCATAATCCATGAATCAAATTTCACAGTTTTTCTATCTCTTTTCTTTGAAAAATGATCAGTCTAATTTGTTGATCCAACCAATTTCAAAAATAACACTAGAACAGTAGTAGCATGCTTGGGCTAACATAAGACTATGGCTACGAATATGAGGGCAACCAATTTAGACATATGATGCTAGAGGTTAAGTTGATACCCTAACCACTCCTCCCAGCATCCTTGATTAACTGAGGCCATACTAGATAAGGAACTTTTTACATATTAGAAATGTGTGCCTTCTTTATTATTATTATTTTTCATAATGAAACTGATTAAATCCTCATTTTATAATATGGAAGGTTGGGCAGAGTCCTATAAAATGAGCTCCAAGGAGGATTCGTAGATTGCCCTATCGAAATGCCCCTTATTCAGCTATCGGTGCCTCCACTTTTATGTCTTGTATTAGGGCCTCTATGGCCCCTTAAGCACCTGGCCGTAGTCTTATTTGTTGTGATTTACCTCGTTTCTTTCATTTTCTTTGTTATCTTAAGAAGATATCTTCCATATTCCTTTACTTCTGTCATTAACCCCAACATTTATTGAACATAAAGACCTATGTACTGGGAAAAATCTTTTTTAGAAGGAAGGAACTTTGCAATGTGAAGATGATTTCATGCAGTTCACAATTACATGATTTTATCACACAAGAGATGAATTATTTTTTCTATACCACTGTAAAAGAACGGTTAGCATGACAATTCGATTGTTTGGCATCATAATTTGTAAGTTTAAAGATTAATGAGGTTGCGATTCAATAGATTTAGTATATCACTAAAGGGTTGCAAAAGGGTAAGACCTGAAGGCAACCGTCTTCTCCGGAAACATAAACTTTCCTTCCCTGAACCCCAAGTGGGTCTGCAAAAACAACAACACTTGTGTTTAGTTTTCTCAAAATTATCTTAGGGACAGAAACTTATACAAAATTTGTTTTAAAAGGATATCCCTGAACAAGCACAGGCATAAAGGGTTCAAAGGTAGAAAATGGTGCTTTAAACAGCTTATATACCCTATTATTTCTCCTGCATCCCTCAACACCACACCACACCAAACAAGCAAGAGCACATGCACATACCACACACAGTCACAAAACAAAGTAGTTTTACCTTGGTTAATGGCAATGACCTCCTTATTGCTGATAATTTCTAATGTTTCGGCAGACATGTTTCTGACATCACAGCCAATCAAAAGTGGAGCCTGTAAATTGAAGCAAACTAACTTTGAGTTTGTGAGGCATTTACACAATCAAATTTTATCTCATGGTAAGGGACCACCGATAATTAGGGGAGATAAGGGAGTTTTACTCTATCTATTCAGTCGATATTCCTTTATTGGGTGCTACAAGGCCGCCCATGACTAATCAGATAACTATAAATATACTCGCATTCACAGTTTCAAACAAGATAGAAGACTGAGATTTGGGCTATTTTGAAATCTGACTATGATACCTCTGTGCAAATAACATACAAACAAAAATAACAAATGAAACCATCTATATGAATATTGGCCTAATTTTAGAAAAAAAAAAATCTATATAAAACTGGAAAATGCTATAAAATGTTGGCAACTGTCGCTCTTGAGATTAACAAAATAATTGTACTGCTAGATCATGAGCTAATTCAACTAAAATGATCCACAGCGAGTGAGGGAGAAAAATTAGAAAAGAAAATAATGAAAAATCTAGAGGGTAATAAAAGGCACCTTCATCAAAGCCCAAATGCTAAAATGTGCTCTGTATTCCTGGTAAGTCATTCCCCCATTTCCAACTTCTAACATATCCGGATCTGCCAGAAAGGAGTATAGGAGGAATTTAGAATGCCATACAAAGGTGCTTCATCACAAAGATCAGATTCCTACCATTCCATCCACCAGGTCCCGCATAAGCCGCCCATTTGTCATTTAGATCAGCGATTGTGGTCATGCTAAACCAAAAAGGAACAAGGGTAAAATTTAAAACAAGGAATATTTTCAAGAAATTGTGGTTCTATATCAGAGAGTTCCATATAAGAGTTAAGAGTCAAAAACTTTAGAACCTTGCCCATGTATCATTGATGTCGTCCGTTGTTCGCCAACTATTTCCAATCTTGCCTGCCCACAGGGCAGGGTCATCAACTCCCCTGCCAATTCCAAAGAGAGAAGCCCGAGTGTGCTGTTAAGGTGCAAATTAAGAACTCAGATATCTAAGTTGATGGATGCAAGAAACTGAAATTACCATTCACAGATCGAATAGAAAATTTTGCGTCCAGTTGCATTTAGAGCGTTACGCATTGGTGGATATCTGGAGATTATCACACCACAATTCTATTAATTCTGAAGTACCAAGCTATGAAGTTAAAACTTAGACAGCATGGAATCAGGGTAGAACCTCTCTTGTGGTTTGATGCCCAAATTGTAACAGTTATCGTACTTCAAATAATCCACGCCCTAAGCAACACAGACCGCAAATATGAATAAGTCATAGCAAAAGAAAGAAAGAAAGAAATTGTGGTTAAAAGTGACCAAAATTCCTTATCTATGCTTCCTGATCTGTGATTTGATGTTTTTAGGACAATCATTTATCAACCAAAGGGGCACCAAGAGTAAAACTGGGTCTCATTCGCATTACATGAAGCCATTAGGATTTGCATACCTTCTTGAATAATTCAATTTCACGAATATATAAAAGGTTATAATAAGATGTTTAAGAATCATATCATACATATAATCTTATTAGATTAGTATAAGTTTAAACTTCAAATCAAACGAAACCAAAAATGGAAAATCTAAATCTTTAAGGGACGTATCATCCTTAAAGATTTAGCAAAAACTAAAACCCTCATTGCTAACATCCTATCTGATGAGATTCTAAGATTTATTCGTGAAAAAGAAAAACACACTAACCCAAGATGCAAAGAGCTGTGCATCATCATCTTCATAGTGAAGTGATCCAGGCCGAACTTGGCATGTAAAAGCCCTACAAAATTAATAAGTGACTTAAATGGAGAGAGAATATGGGATTATCACAACACTGGGATTATCACAACACCATGGCACACTTGATAAGAATAAAATAATCATTCACTATCATATAACTTTAAATCTTCTGATCGGTATTTGGAAATTTGTATTACCCAGCATCAGAGTAGATACCGAGCTTGAGGCTCTTCCCATGCACATGATCAGCAAGAGCTTTAATTCCTGATGGAAAATATGTTTGATGTGGAACTAATTTACCCTGGACCATAAATCAAGCTAGGATCAGATTCAACGAGGCAACCTCACACGCTTTAACTGTTTCCAGGTTTTATTTTGCAACAGCTTTTTCATATTAAAAATATCTTAATATATGATCGAAACTGTATGTCACTGCAATCACTCTGTCAACTTATGTATTCCTTTTTACAAAAGATTCTAGAAATTGAAGTGGAAACTAAACAAAGCACTTGCTAAACATGACAACAAACATATAATACGTAAGAGCAAGAAAAAATGGTTGTTTCCTTTATACCCAACTAATTTGCACCGTGTTGCCAATAGTATGAGGGGAGGCAAAAAAACACAGTAATTCAAGTTATAAGGATAGAGAAGGACCTCTGGATTTCGCTTCATATCAGACCAGCAATCATCTGCAATTGGATGAAATTGAATATGTCGATAAGAACCCAGATGTAAAGTGAAACTAAACAGGTAAAACATGTCAGAACAATACCTATGTTAACGTATATATAGCCTAAGTCGGCCAAACCAGTTGAAACTAGGGCGTCAGCTGTCAATGACAAGAACATAGGTTAGTTATTCTCAGGGATTCAAACAGACAAAGACAAGAATCAGAAAAGAGTCTCGGGTATAATTATCAGATTTTAAATCATCAACAACAGAGTTTAGTTACTTTCTCTACTGGTCCCCTTTCCCCAGCCCCCCAAGAAAAAGACTTTTGAAAAAGAAAAAATAATTCCCACTTTGTTGAGTTTTGAGGCTAGGATAATGTGAATGGCACTTTGTTGTGGATGAAAATACGCGAAGGCCTATTTTGTGCTTTCAAGTTAAGTGAATCAACTAATAGAGAGGCGGTGACACGAACGGCATTGGTGCAAATGCAAGTTGGCCAAATCTACAAGGTTTAATAAGTGCAAGGAATGTTTGGACTAACATAACATGAAAGAGAAAAAAATACTGTTAGGACTTTTTAGAGTTTATGTGCACCCTAGTGAGCTGTTTTTATTGCTTCTAGACTCTTTCAACGGGCAATATTCAATTAGATGCATCAAATGATTGTGGTACTGACATGGAAAACATCAAAACAGCTCCAGCAATGTTTTAAGCCTCATTTTCTTCTGTAAGCACGCAAAAACTTTGAATATTGCACCACAGAGGATATTATTAATTCCCAAACTATGTAGAACAACAGTCAACAGATGTTCTATCCTTACAGGCCACTCGTCTTTCAATCAAACTTACTCTTGCTTAATTCCCTAAAAATATCAGTTCTCCCACTATGTTTACAAGCACTCCTCATTTGCCAAAACACCCAAAATCGCAAACTCTGTATTGTTGTCATCGACCAAATTTCCCCACTTTGGAACAAGTTAATACAACAAGACATGCTGGACTCCTTGGTATAAAACTGATCAATCTCAGCAACTAAAAACAATACCTGTTTCCTTGATGACTGTTTCACTGATATCACAGGCAAAGAAATTCCAGCTATTCCATCTGTTCCAAAACAGAATCAATCGCTCACAACTAAAAAATATAACAAAATATTGGGAATTCAACCCCAAAATAAACAAAACTGTAAGCTGGATAAAAAAAATATAAGAAATTCAAGTGCATGTTTTTTAGACTGTTACACATATGTAATCAAATCTGAAATTGACAGGAACCGAAATTTTTTTATTTTGAATATATCTTTCTCTTTGTACTGAGAAACCAGAAACATCAAAGATTAAAATTCGCAAGCAAACCAGACTCGAATTTTGGGTTGAACAAACACATAGGTAATCAACCCAGGATAAGTAAAAAGGAAAAGAATCATTGTAGAAAATCAAAACCCAAATGCTTATGCAAAACCCAACAGCTAATATCAATTTTATCTGTACAATATATCAATCAATCCTCAAATTGAGTAGAAAGAACAGGACTTTAATTTTCTTCCCTTCGAACTTCAAACAAAATGAGTGAAAATGAGAAAATAAGCTCAGGAATCAGAAACTCAAATTCATATGCAAAATCCAGTTCCTAGTTTTGGTCCCCAAAAACGTCTAATAAACTAAATCCTTATTTTGATCTGGAAAAAACAGACTTTGGCTTCTTCCACTTTGGACCGAGGGAAAAGTAAGAAAAATCAAAGAAATTCAAAACTGAAATGCACATTCAAAAGGTAACTCCTAATTCTAGTTCACTTGCACCTATAGATTAAATCCCCAGCCTAACTGGAATAAACAAAGAACTTCCAACGTTTCTGAATCCTCGTATTAATGATTCAAAAAATAGGACTTTAATTTTCTTCTAATAATTCAAAACAAAAGGAAAACTCATAGGAAATTTACCAAGAAGATGCATTAACAAGGAAGGAAAACAGACCAAAGGTGTGATACATACCCCATCTGAGGAGTCTGAGCCAAGCCGTTGTTGATTTGAAGAATACCATACTTGGAAGTATCAAAAATATGAGAAATGGTTTCCTCTCGGTTTTTCAAGGCAGGGTGTATTGGCAACACACGAGCTGAAACTGTCACATAGATCATAGATAGATACAGAAACAATATATGTATGGACGCCATGAGTTTCTCTGCCACTAGTGGACTGATTTTCTCTAAGTTTCTTCAGGGCAATGAAAATCTGTGGAGAGAGAAAAAGGTCTGGAGGTAGAAGACAAGACAGACAAGGAACGTTTAATACAAGAATCAAACTTTATCCATTCTTATACAGTGGATAAATAGCTATGTACATAAGATAAGATTAAATAGTTTATGATATCAACCTTTCTTTTTAGGGTTAATCTCATTTTGTACACTGAAAGATCGTTCGAATTTTAATTTGTACCCTCAAAGATCAAAAATCTCAATTTACACCCTCAAAGATAAAAATTTGTATCAATGTACACCCCCAAAGATCAAAAATCACAATTTTCACCCTCAAAGATATAAATCTATATCAATGTGCACCTAAAATTAAATTGATAAATTATACCTAGATCCCCTCGTGTTTGTCACTTAATCATTTGAACCCCTTCACATTTAGAATATTACCCCTACATCTCATGACGTTTGTACATGTGTAAACATAACCACTTTTCGTTGATATCTATTAATATAATCGTTAAAAAATATGATTTTATCCTAATAAAAAATTATAATTTCATATTACTCTTTATTTTGTAGATTCGATATACTCTAAAGTTCAAAATCAAGCTTACCATTTGAATGTCAAATAGAATGTAGATATTTATATAAAGGAAAATATGAAAAACATTATATAAATATCTACATTTTATTAGACATTCAAATGGTAAGCTTGATTTTGAATTTTAGAGTATATTGGACCCATAAAATAAGGGTAATATGAAATTATAATTTTTTATTAGGATAAAATCATATTTTTTTAACGGTTATATTAACAGATTTCAATGAAAATGAGTTACATGTTGTACGTGCATAAATGTTATGAGATGTATGAGTAATATTCTAAATGTAAAGAGGTCCAAATGATTAAGTGACAAACATGAGGAGATATAGGTATAATTTATCAATTTAGTTTTAAGTGCACATTGATATAAATTTCTATCTTTGAGAGTGCAAATTGAGATTTTTGATCTTTGGGGGTGCACATTAATATAAATTTCTATATTTGAGAGTGCAAATTGAGATTTTTGATCTTTGGGGTGCACATTGATACAAATTTCTATCTTTGAGGGTGCAAATTAAGATTTTTGATCTTTGGGGGTGCACATTGATACAAATTTCTATCTTTGAAGGTACAAATTAAGATTTTTGTTCTTTAAGGGTACAAATTAATATTCGAACGATCTTTCATGGTATAAAATGAGATTAACCCTTCTTTTTATAATAAGTTACCATTGTGTGTATGTGGATGATAGAAAAATCAGAACACGATGAGGAAGTGGGAGAAGAAGAATACATTGGATGCACCATGTTTTTGTGCCATCACTAGCTTTAAGTTTAAAAAACTCATGTAAACAATAGTACGATTTTTTCCTTTTTGTTAATCAGCAAAAAGGATGAGTAAGTTTAAATTAAACTCAATTGTTTAGTATTAGTTACACCAACGCAACACGAAATTAGAAGATTTAGATCTTCTTTAAATCACTTGTTTCATAAATGAATGGAGCTGACACAATTAATAAACAGATCGGATATGACTGAAGTCAATCAAAAAAAATGCATTACACAACTCGTTTATATATCAGTTATAAACGATTTATACATGATACTAATTTGATATAACACGACTCGTTAGATATGAATTAATAAATAAATTGGATATAAATGAAGTGTTCTTTGATACGAACTCGTTTCACCCGACATAATTGACAGGCCTAATAACAATACATCAAATATAGTTGTAGCTAAAAGAGATATGAGAATACTAACCTCTAAAATCGAGAAATGAAAGGCCGACTACAAAACGTAAGCCTTTTCGAATCCATTTATATATATATATATAAACTTATGAATCTATAATAATTAAAAAAGAAATTCAAAAAATGAAAAAATAAAGGCAATGTTTGAGCAAAAGAATAGATAGTTTTATTTTTTCGGCCCGAAAAGAATAGATAGTTAACTTACACGATGTTATGCATGAAATTGATATTTACCAAGTGAATATTTTGAGTTAGACCCGTCAATAGATTAAGGTTGGATTGAATTTTTATTAATTCGAATATGAATTTGATTTTAAAATTTCGATTTCATAATTTGACAGATTTTATTTTTATGGTTCATATCCAAATTCGTTAACAATTCAAAATCCGATTTGATTTGATCCAAATAACTAAACTTAACTAGATTTTAACAAATTATACATTAATTTTAACTAAATTTCTTTAAATAATCACTTAATTTTTTTAATTGATATAAAAATATATAAATAATTTGGATCAGATCAGATATATGTATATCCAAATCCGAATATGTAAAAATATTAGATATCAGATTCAAATTTAGGTTTAAATTGTCACTAAAAATTATCAATTCATATTAGGCTAATCGGAGTTGGATTAAGATTCAATATATTAACAAACATATTCTAAATCTATATAAATATATATGTGTGTGTGTGTGTGTGTGTTAATCTCAGTTTGTACCTTAAAAGATATTTCGATTCTCAATTTTTACCTTCAAACATTAAAAATATTAATTTGCAGCCTTAATGTTATGAGTTGGTAGCAATGTGGACCTCACATATACTGTCGTTTAATTTTCTGTCATAAATTGAAGCACATGAGCTGCAAGTGTTTTGAACATAAGAATAAAATATGTTTATCGCTGCAAATATTCATCTACGATCTATTTGACATCATTTTATGTATTAAAAATAAGATTTCGTTAATCAAATAAAAGTTAAGTCTATCATGTACAACTCACATAAAACACTAATAAACTATGAATTTATACATAAGCCTATGGTCAAAACAGTTGCAACTCATGTATATCAATTTATTACGAAAAACTGAATGGTAGTCTGGGCAAGGTCCATATTGTTACTAATTCATAACATTGAGGGTGTAAATTAAAATTTTTAAAATTTAAGGGTATAAATTTAAAATTGAAGTATTCTTCAAGGTGCAAAGTGACATTAGCTCTATATATATTACTGTTAGTACATGTGGGTTTTCCCATTGGAACACTTTTATATTTTTTCCGTACAAGGCAAGTGGGTGACTACTAAATAATTATTATAATTATACTATGATGCACTTTTGGACCCGAAATTATCGGGTCTCTATGTGGATCTAAAATTGCTTTGTACTTATCATCTTGGACTGGTCGGTTTTAGATAAGACTAAGTGGGATTTTGAGCATAATTAATAGAGCAATGCTACAAAACTTAAAATTTTAATTTAAATTTATATCTCAAATGAAGGGGATCATTAGATTAGTGGGTCCTATTTTAAAAAAGTTGATGAGACTCATTTATCTAATGATTCTCTTTCATTTGAAATACAAATTTATATTATAAATTTGAGTTACATAATATTTTCTTAATTGAGAAGACTAATGTCAGATGAATTTAAAAAATAGACTTGATAATTCTAACTATTGAATAGGTAATAGGTTTTAATAAATGTTAAGATTTACAGTGAAATAAATAATTATAATTATCAAATATACTTTTTAAATTTATTTTTTAAATTCATGTAACATTGATCAATTGATAATTAGTAGGTATTTGTTAATCAGGAGAGCCATCAGAAAGTCTGCTTAACAATAAGGAAAAAGTTCACAAAAACTTATCAAGACGGTAAGCTTGCGTGTAAATGTCAAGAATCCTTTAATGGGTCCATTTTGATTGTGACAATTACAATTTAAATAATTATGTGGTTGGCATAGTTTTCGCGACCATTTTGTTTACGCCAAGCAATCTATCATACACCAAAAAATGACTAAAACACAATTGTCTTCTTATGTTAATCTCATTGTAGAGAAAGGGAAAGCAAGACGATCACCCTCTATAACTCCTACTCTCACCGCCACCCTACATTCCTACGCCCATCCAACTTGATTCACGCACACCGTTGACATTTACCTTATATCGATTTTTATACACATACTCACTTTATATGTAGTTATCTATTGTTATAGTGGTGGTAACTAAAAATAGATTTGGGATGAGTTTGATGAAGATCACGATCACAATGGTGTTTTTGGTGTGGAGGGAAACAAGGTTTTGCTATGGAGATAGGGTTAGAGGGCTAGGTGGGGTGCGATAGGTTCACCTAAGTTAAGTGTGGGGAATGGGAAAGGGGTGCATCCTCTTTGTGGGCAGCAGACATGACAAAGCCCATAATACTCGAGGACTAAGCCCAATTGGCCAAGATGATGGATGAGCCAAGATGATGGATGAGTTCCTAAAAACTCTTTAAGTTTTTTTTTAAAGATTAAATGGATTAACTATGTTTTAATAGGGTATATATGAGGTGAAAAATTAAAGGGTTGGCCTTAGCGTAACGATAAGATTGCTCAATTATGATCTGGAGGTTACAGGTTCAAGTCACAAAAATAATCTCTTTGCTTGCAAGAATAACACTGTGTACATTTAACTTTATCTAGATTCTGCAATAGTAAGAATCTTGTGTTTTGAATACGTCTTTTTTTTTAGATGAGGTGAAAAATTACTTATAAAATAAACACCTTATATTTATAATTCTAATAGCATAACCAGCAGGAGAGGAAGATTAGATATGAAAATGATTTTTTTAGAAATTTCAATCAAAACTAAAAAAATGGGTTAGGAGTGCGATAGTATAAAAAAGCCGGTTGTTGTCACATGGTATATACATGTAATTGAACAATGAAGAAAACACAATAACGATTAAGATTGATTTAATTTTCATCTACTTTGATATAATAATATAAAATTTATTCTAATTTTTTTTTTAAATTATCAATTCAATAACACACTCCCAAGTCTCAATGTTAAACAATCCCACTACATCTCTGTTATTATCTTTCTGTTCACTTTAATTGTAAATTATGTAATGAAAAAAAATAAAAAAGAAATAAACTTCTAATTTATAATCTATAATATAAAACATGACAAGTTTTAATAAGCTCATTAGACGACCTTAAATAGACTCATTCAACGGCCATCAACATTCCTCTTAAAATTATTCACATTAAATTTTATCTTCCTCTCCTTACTCTTCACTCTCCCTCTCTCTCTAGGATTTTCACTCATCACTTCTCCAAA